GAGGGGGTGGTGGCGGCAGCGGTGGGGGTGAAGGATCAGGAGGTGGGTATGGTTATGGTGGCGGTGGTGGTGGTGGACGTGGGGGCGGGGGAGGCGGAGGATATGGGGGAGGAGTCGGTGGAGGGGGCAGAGGATATGGAGGTGGCGCAGGTGGTGGCGAAGGCGGCGGCGCTCCTTGAAATCCCAAAACCTTTAATTTGGAATTGGGAAAGGATTTGTTTTAATTTCTTGCTTTACTTGATATTAGTTGGAGTATAATATATGTACGGAACAATAAGAACATTGTATGTAGGGAATAATTTTGTGTGAAAATAAGGTGATTATTAATTTGTTTTGAATAAAATCTTAATTATTATTGCTTCACATCTGATACTCCCTCCGTTTCTTAAAACCCTTCATCTTTTATTTTTTTTGTTTTTCTTAAAACACTTCCCTTTTTTATTAAAAAACCACTTTTACCCCTACTTTTTCATACCCTACCTATCACATCATACTTTTTTCACTAACAGCTAAACTATCACATCTTACTTTTACCATCACATCAAGAGCAAAATTGGAAAGTCAACTACAATTTAACACTTCCTTATTTCCTCCCAAAGTCAAAAGAGAAACTCTTTTGAGAAACGGAGGGAGTATATAATTACCCTTTTATATGAATTTATAGGCATCTAACAAATCATTAAAATTTGACGATAATAATTAGTTACTCGTCATTTGGTTTGTCTATTTGTGACAAAGAGAAAGAAAATACACGAAAAATATGTTCAAATCCATTTTCCCGTCCCTATAATGCTCCATCTGTGTCTTCGGAGATGAAGAATCTCGATGAGTGGTGGTTGCCTGGCGAGCCATGAAACCAATTTGATGCTATCTAAAGTAATTTAGTGGATGAGTAAGATTAATCCATTTTTCCCCAACTTAATACTCCATCTGTTCCTGAGTATTGGTTTTTTTTACTTTTTTGATCAAAATTGATAAATTTTAACGTCAAATTAAATAAAAAAGATACTACCTCCGTCCTGCTTTGTTTGTCCACTTTTGACTTTTGGAACTGTTCATCTAAGTATTTTGACTCATCAAATTCTCTCAATGTGTAAGTCTAAATATAGTCATGTGTGATCTTGTTTGATTTGTCTTAACATATAGATTATTAATATATAATTTCTATAATTTTTTAATATACAAATTACAAGATAAAATGAATTAAAGAAATGCATTGGATGGTGTGTAAAAATGAAAGTGGACAAATACTCTGGGACGGAGGGAGTATTAGATATTGATATAAAAATAGTTTAATTAGATTTATTATATGCAATATTTTTAAAATATTATTTTATATAAATATTATACAATATATATTTTATTTAACTATATGTCAAAGTGTAAAAACAGTTGACCGAAAAAAATCAAAACTAGATGATTTTTTTCTTTGTGAGGATGACAACCAAACTTACTAATTATTTTGCGATAACAACGCGGTAGAATCCCACAACATGAGGGTTTGGAGAGGGTGGGTATGTGCGCGTAGTAGACCTTACTCATACTAAAAATAGAATGAGAAGTTTTTTTTTTTGGTACAAAGAGATTGAGGGCACTTTACAACTTGTTTTTATAGTTCTACTTTTCGGATGAATAAAATCATATTCTTTCTCAAATTAGACTTCTAATGTTTTTTTACTGCAACTTTTAATGTTTGTTTAAATGAGTGTTTGATCTTTTTTTATTTAACCTAAAAAAATTTTGAAAATCAAATTTAAAAAGTTAAGAAAATTTTTTTGTACTAGTATTAAAATTTACAAAATTTTACTTTTTGTAGTATTAAAATTTACTTTTTGTAGTATTAAAATTTACAAAATTTGACAAAAAAAACCACACAAAATAAATAGGCCCCAGCTAAGTATGGATAATTAACTGGAAAATTAAATTCAATACCAAAAAACAAACAAAATAAGAAATTAATTGTGGGTTAATTATTAGTGTTGGTTGATCGAATTGCATGGACGCATGCAATAGCGAAGGAGAAAATTAGGAGGAAAATGGGAGGGTTAGGAGATTAAAAACAATGGGAGCCAAAGGCCTTTCCTTATTCTCCTCTCCACCATCATTCATCCTTTCTTTTTCATTCATATAAATAACTATCAATTCCCCAATCCTTTTCCTTGAAGAAAACCATTTGTATATTGCAATGGCAAAACACACACCGGATCGTTGTGTACTGTACTTTCTCCTTCTGAGCTACGGAATATGTTGCGTGGCTAGCAGATCCATCTTAACTTTCATTGATCACGGGGGAGCTGGTGGCGGGGGAGACGTCGGAGCCGACGTTGGAGTCGGAGTTGGTGCAAACGTCGGTGCTAACGTTGGCGTCGGAGGCGGACTTGGTGGCGGCGCGGGAGGCGACGTAGGAGGAGGTGGCCCCGGGTTAGGTGGAAGAGGGGTCGGCCATGGTGGTGCTGGTGTTGGAGCTGGAGTTGGCGCCGGTGTCAATGTAGGGGCTCAGGTCAATGCAAAAGCACATGGAGGGCTAGGCGGCGGAGGTCGTCTCGGTAGAGATGGATGGCCATACTATGGTGGTGGTGCGGGTAATTCAAGAGCTGCCAGAGCAGGCGACGGAGGAGCGCTGGTAGGTGCAGGAGGGGAAAATGTAGGAGGATCGTCTACAAGCGGAGGTGGCAATGGAGGAGGATCCTCCTCGGGGTCCGGAGCTAGTGGTGGATCAAGTGGAGGCGGAGATGGAGGATCATCCACGAGTTCGGGAGAATCAGCTAGTTCAAAAAGCAACGAGGGATCGTCTGCTAGTGCTGGTGCCAACAAAGGGTCCTCTTCGGGATCTAAAAGCAGCAGTGGATCAAGTGTAGGAAGAAAAGGAGGGGCCTCCGCCAGTTCAAAAAGCAGCGGAGGATCATCCTCTAACGGTGGCGGTAGCGAAGGTTCCTCCTCAGGCTCTGCAAGTGGTAGTGGTGGATCAAGTGAGGGAGAAAAAGGAGAAACCTCTAGTGGTTCAAAGAGCAGTGGAGGATCAACAGTTAGTGGTAGCAACAAAGGGTCCTCCTCAGGGAGTAGCAGTGGATCAAGTGAAGGAGGAACAATAGGATCCTCCACTCATTCAAAAAGTAGTTCAGAGTCATCATCCTCTAGTTCAAAAAGTAGTTCAGAATCATCATCCGCTGGTTCCAAAAGCAGCAGAGAATCATCGTCCGCGAGTTCAAAAAATAGCAAAGAATCATCCACCGGTTCAAAGAGTAGCGGAGAATCATCCGCAGGGTCAGGAACCAACGTTGGATCAAGTGGAAGAAAATCAGAATCCTCAACCAATTCAAAGAGTAGTGGAGGATCATCAACTAGTAGTAGTTCCAAAGAAGGATCCACCTCTACTAGTAACGGAGGATCCTCCTCGAAGAAGTCAGGAAGCAGTAGTGGATCAAGTGAAGGAGGAAAAACAGGAGCTTCTACTAGTTCAAAAAGCAGCAAAGGGTCATCCACTAGTGGTGGTGGTGGTGGGAATGGAGGATCCTCGTCAAAGTCTGAAGGCAGCGGTGGATCAAGTGATGGAGGAAAGTCGGGAACCAATTCTAGTTCAAAAAGCAGCGGAGGATCATCTACTAATGGCAATGAAGGATCTTCCTCGGCATCTGGAGGCAGCAGTGGATCAAGTGAAGGAGGGAAAACAGGAGCCTCTGCAAGTTCAAAAAGTAGCAGAGGATCATCAACTAGTGGTAATAGTAAGGGAGGATCCTCCTCAGGGTCTGGAGCCAGTAATGAATCAAGTGAAGGAGAAAAGAAAGGAGCATCTACAAGCTCAAAAAGCAGTGGAGGATCATCTTCGAGTGCAGGTGACAACAAAGAATCCTCCACGGGGTCCTCAAAGAGTAGCGGAGGATCGTCTACTAGTGGTAGCAGCAGTGGAGGATCTTCTTCGGGGTCTGAAGGAGAAGGATCAAGTGGAGGAAAAACAGGAGCCTCTGCAAGTTCAAAGAGTAGCGGAGGATCGTCTACTATTGGTAGCAGCAGTGGAGGATCTTCTTCGGGGTCTGGAGGAGGAGGAGGAGGATCAAGTGGAGGAAAAACAGGAGCCTCTGCAAGTTCAAAGAGTAGCGGAGGATCGTCTACTATTGGTAGCAGCAGTGGAGGATCTTCTTCGGGGTCTGGAGGAGGAGGAGGAGGATCAAGTGGAGGAAAAACAGGAGCCTCTGCAAGTTCAAAAAGTAGTGGAGAATCGTCCGCCAGTGGTGGTGGCAACAAAGGATCCTCCTCACAGTCGGGAAGCGAAGATGGAGGAAAAACAAGTGCCTCTACTAATTCAAAAAGTGGTGGAGGATCTTCTACAAGTGGTGGTGGTAACAATGGATCATCCTCGGGGTTTGGAGGCGGTAGTGGATCAAATGAAGAAGGATCCTCTACTAGTTCAATAAGCACCGGAGGATCATCTACTAGTGGCGGAAACAATGGAGGATCATCCACTACGTCCGGAGGCCAAGCAGAAACCTCTGCAAAATCCAAAAGTAGCGGAGGATCGTCTACTAGTGCTAGCAGCAATGGAGATGCAGGAGATGGAGGAGGGAGTACAAGGTCTGGAGGAAGCAGTGGATCCGACACATCCTCAGTTAGTTCAGGAGGAGGTGAAGGAACCTCTTCAAATGCTGGAGACTCGGGAAAATCGTCCACCAGTTCAGGACACATCAACGGATCAAGTGGGAGCGGAAATGGAAAAGCCTCGTCCATTTCTAGCAACGGGGGGGAATCATCTGGTACTAAAGGAGGCGTGCAAACAGCTGCAAATGCTGGAGGTGGTGGAGGAGCTGGTGCCGGAGTAGACGGAGGAGTATCTGTAGGAGGAGGAGCTAACGTCGGGGTCGGTGTTGGAGTTGGTGGCCATGGTGGTGTAGGGGGAGACGGGGGACTCGGTGGTGGTAACGGAGGAGGTGGCGGCAACGCTGGTGGCGGTGCCGGAGTGGGTGCCGATGTAGGTGTAAGAGGTGGAGCAAACGTGGGTGTAGGCGCGGGACTTGGCGGTCGCGGTGGTGTTGGGGGAGACGGAGGACTTGGTGGTGGTGATGGAGTAGCTGGCGGCCATGGTGGTGCCGGGGGCGGTGCCGGAGTAGGTGCCGATGTAGGTGTAGGAGGTGGAGCAAATGTGGGGGTAGGTGCAGGACTCGGAGGCCGCGGCGGGTTAGGGGGAGACGGAGGACTTGGCAGTGGGAACGGAGTAGGTGGTGGCCACGGTGGTGCTGGGGGCGGTGCCGGAGTAGGTGCGGATGTAGGTGTAGGAGGTAGAGCAAATGTGGGGGTAGGTGCGGGACTCAGAGGCCGCGGTGGGTTAGGGGGAGATGGAGGGCTTGGTGGTGGGAAGGGAGTAGGTGGTGGCCACGGTGGTGCTGGTGGCGGTGCCGGGGGCGGTGCCGGAGTAGGTGCCGATGTAGGTGTAGGAGCTGGAGCAAACGTGGGGGTAGGCGCGGGACTCGGAGGCCGCGGTGGTGTAGGGGGAGACGGAGGACTTGGTGGTGGTAACGGAGTAGCCGGTGGCCACGGCGGCGCAGGAGGAGGAGCGGGCGCTGATGTAGGTGTAGGGGGTGGAGCAAACGTGTTTGTTGGCGGAGGCGCCCACAAATACGGATATGTGGGCGGCGGAGGTGATCTCGGTGGTGGTGATGCCCGTCACCCATATCTTCCCTAAAAATTCCAAATCAGTTTCAGCAACGAGTAATACGGAGTACTAAATTACAGTAGTTGGTTAATTTTCTTCTTTCTTTTCAAATTAGTAAAGGGGATTCCCCGCGCACCGAATGAATAAACACAATTAGATAGGGAGTATATTGCACAAATGTACTCGTAGTATTCTTAGGTCACTATTTTCATGTTTATCATTTTCTCCTAGTTTCTAGTGTTGTAAAGGAGAATGTGTTCTAGTGGAATGATGAATTAGTTATCAGTCATTGCAGTTGTTTAGGAGTATATCTTATTTTTGCAATATTTATTATTTATGTTGACGTCAACATTTCAAATAATTGGAGTAAATTATAGTTCTAACCTGAACTAAATTCCTCATTAAGCTCATTTCACTACATGGAACCTATGAGTATCTGACTGTAACTAAATTATTACCGTAATTAGTAACTACCATGGACACACTACTTCATATTGTAGTGGAAAAGGGGGGTTAGGAGAAAAAAAACACTGCAATTAACAATGCATCTAAAAAGAAGTTTCCCCTTGCTAACCTGGTTTTCACCTTCTTCTCACCTCTCATCTGAGGCTGCTGGCCTTCAAAGGACGTAACCGTAAAGAACGCCGAGGAGACAGCTCACCACTATCTCCAACTGGGCAAACAGCTTTCCTTCTTCTCATTCTCTTCTTCATACTTCCTTCTAGGTCTGCCTCCGCCCTCTTATGAGATTCATCTTTTTTGCAACAAATTTCATCTGAAATAGCAAAAATTAGCTAAAAGGTCTTGATAAATTGTATGAAAATATACACTGGGATTCTAAGGTGGAGGTGAGCGGTGACTGGATGGGGCATGCTAAAGGGGTAGGAACCAGTGTCGAATAGAGCACCGTATGACCATTAGATGGACCAGTGTCATTATGGCACCGGCCCTTTGTGTCAAAAGAACTGTCCTCTAAAATGTATTTTTAAGAAATACACTGAGAAATCTATTTTTTAACAACAACAACAACAACAACCCAGTTAAATCCCACAAGAGTAGGGTCTGGGGAGGGTGTGTGTACGCAGAGGAATGGGGATGAGCTTTCATCTCTCCGACAAAGGTTTCTCTGGGGGCCGAGTTGCAGCTTTCAACGTAACGAACTGATTGACGATGAAGTAATTAATTTCTTCGCGTCTGTCAAATCTCTAGGTAAATGATTTATTCCATCACACCCCAAAGCCAAAAAATGGTGAAATTTTGGCTCCATCAGAGATGATGGAAAGAATTTTTTTTAATAACGATAAGTTAAAAGGAAATACTAGGTGATTATGCAAAGAGGCTTACAATAGTAGGTGAGTTTGGGGGAAGGGGTAGATCTAAGAAGAATTAGAAGGAAATGATTAGGCAAGACTTAAGACTTTTTGGCTCTTACTGAGAATATGACCTTAGATAGGAACGCGTGGAGATGGGTTGTTATTGTAAGTTAAAAGGAAATAATAATCTAATGGGATTTTGCTGATAATTAGAAAAACGGGCAAGCCAAACATTCAGGCACCTAGACAACAACTACTGCAAAGAAACTGCCCATTGGGGTACACAAGTACATTTACCAGTTGTGTCTTCTTCATGTATCTCTTGCCTTGGACATCTTGAACAAGTTTTACTAGTCACATCTCCACATCGTTTGCTCGCCCTGAACTCCTGTTTTGTATTGTTTTCTTTAAGTACTGATCGAGTAGGTGTTTTCTCGGCATTGGCAGAACAGATATCATCAGAAGAATTGCATAAGTTTTCCTTTCCTTTTTCACTTGTGCAAATCACTTTGTGTCTTGACCCAATTTCCCTTATGGGAGAAGAACCAGAGATTGAGTCAACATTATATAACACCTGTTTAGGAGAACTGTTCGGTTTGAGTTGCTTTGTTTGTATGAAATCTGAGAACCAGGGAGTGTCCTGTCTTGCATAGAATAGAATGTATGCGGACTGAGACATAACAAAATCTTCTTGGACCCGAGTAACCTATAACAAATTGACACAAACATTGAGTTCGATCACATTTATTATGAATATTATTTTCTTTTTAGATTAGGCTATGTATGAAACACAATCACTGGTACGGTAAATGGGAGAAAATGGTATCGGAAGTGGTATGTTAATGTTTGGTTTGACTTTGGGAAATATGAAGAGAAAACAAAATTTTCATAAAAAAATTACATATATTTTGACTTCTTAGTGTCTATATGATAGAAATATGTTTTAAACAAATACGAAGTACATACAATTCATTTATTGAGTATGGATGAATACTTTTATACACTCTTCCAAATTCCCCCATTTTTTTCTCCACCATAACATCTTATGGGTTCCAAACGGAACCTTAAGATCTAATCTTTGGAAAGTGAAGCACCTTTGAGTCATCAAACTTGTACCATTCATTGGGAGAAGAATGGATGAAGCAGTAGTAGTGCCCAGAATGCAATGTCAGCCCTATATGCACCAAGACTGCCACAAGATTATATTTTGATTCCGCCTATAGAGAGAAATTTAAAAAAAAAAAAACAATTAGATGCTATGATATATACTACCCTGTATTAAACACATCTAAGGGTCTAGGTTTCCTTGGAACAAACATTCAATTTAAGAACCAGTAGAATAAGAATGGACTTTTATCAACTCAGGGCTCAAAGATGGTTTATCTCTTGAGACAACATATGAAAGATCAAAACTACAAATTTAGGACTTGAACTGTTCGTACTATCAATCTAGGATTAAAAATCACAAACTTTAGTCATTTAATATTCTTGCAAATATTTTTAATAAATTCTATTTTGAATCTAAATTATATCCCGTCAAAGAAGTCCCGTTGAAAATTAACATAAAAGTAATTACAAATAAAAATTCAAGCAGTTTAGAATCTAAAGTCTTGCTAAGCCCATACAATTTACTGTTTCTATTTTTGTCTTAAATCTATAGTTTTGATTATAGTAGCATATATATAGGTCCTAAACTAACTCTTTTCATCAATAAAACTCTATAAAGAATAAAAAGCATTTCTAATTTGCAATGTATGAAATAGAGTTTTTTGTGTCATTCACCCCAAACTTTTCATATGGTGCATGTTTTCTCCCAAACTTTCAAAACTGCACCATTAGTCTCTATACTTTTCATAAAATTTGTGCTTTTCCCCTGAACTCTTTATAAAATGCATGTTTTCCCTCCAAACTTTCAAAAGTATACTATAAGTCCATATACTTTCCAAAAAGTGTGCTTTCTCCCCGGATTTTCAAAAATGCACCATTAGTCATTAGCCTTAAGAAATTGTGCGTGCTTGAAACCCTAAGAATTTCTCTTGATTGAACAACATCATTAACCAAACTTGAATAAATAGAAAAAAAATTGGAGGCGTGAGAAGACATTGACACAAGGAGTTCGCATTTATGTCCTCCAATGTATTTTTATTCAAGTTTGGTTAAATGCGCTATTTAAAAAGAGAATGATTACAGTTCCAACCATGCACCATTTTTTAAATATATAGGACTAATGCTACAGTTTTGAAACTTTGGGAAAAAGAACGTGATTTATGAAAAGTAAAGGGACTAATGATGCACTTTTGAAAGTTCAAGAGAAAACATGCACTTTATTAAAATATTCGGGGTTAACCACGCAGTTTATGAAAAGTATAGGGACTAGTGGTGCACTTTTGAAAGTTTGTGAGGAAAACATGCACTTTATGAAAAAAAGTCCAGGGGTAAATGACGCAAAAAACACATATGGAATATATGAAGAAACTCACTCACATGTTTTTTGTCTCTTTTCACATAAGGAAGCAAATCCAATTCAAGCGGGAAAGCGATATGCTTGTCAATCTTCTCAACAAGACAACCATCATTTCTGAATCTCTTCAAATGAAAGATGGAAACCAAAGGGGTCTCATCCAACAAAAGCTGCTTCTCAAGTGACACATGTAACTTGCACTTTTCACATGTGAATTTTGCCACAGTATCTTCAATCTTTTCAGTTCTCGTGAAAGAATCCAAAGCCATATAGAGGCTGTCTGCATCGCCTATCTCCAAACTCAGGTCAACTAGTGGCTCATAAGTTATAGAGCAGTGGCCACAATTGAAACACTGCAACTGAAATTATAGAACTGTTTTACTTCTTGCTTCACATATAAGTTCCTACTCAATATAATCCCCAAACTGTATGATATTACTCAATACTCTATTAGGTCTTTAGCTTTTTTTGAACTAACATTGGTCCACGGTTATACATTGTAGATTCCATTTAGTCCTAGAACACATTTTACTCAAATTATGACGGCCATTTTCATCTGTTGAAGGCTAAATTAGGTCCAACTTGCATAGTCGATGACGCTAAATTTAGTGAATCCACAAAAATGAGATTCTTATTAAAACTAAATATGTATGAGAACTACAAAGCCAATGACCAAATTGAGTCCTAAAAACCTTTGAGGACAGAAACTTAGTAAGAGCATATAATCTAGAGGCTAAATCCAGGATTAAGTATTAGCAATTCAAAAATTATACACCCCAAAGTACGGAGTATATTTTTAGTCACACTTCACTTACTTTGCTAATGAGGTGACCCCCAAAAGTCTGCTTCACAAAATTTACATGATTTGAGTGCACCTGGCCCTCCGGCTTTATATAGCTGCAAGATCTTTCAAGTCCATCCAGAAAACACAGTAGAAATTCATGAGCATCTTCCTGTTGATACCTCTGAAAACTAGATGAAAAATCTGGTTTAGATGGCAAAGTTAAGGATCAATGTGGAACAACGTCCGTCATACAATGTGGATCGGGCACAACTAACTAACCATGATGAACACGCATATGGAAGATACCACAAGTCCGCAATTGTGGGTTTTAGCCATTTTTACAGAACACCAATGCCAAAAATGAAGGTAAGCAATATATTAAAAAAATATCAGCCTAATTATATAAAAAGCATTAACTAAAACCCAAAGTTAACATTTAACACAGTGCTAAGAGAAGTGAATAAGGAATTTTTATATCATCAAAGTACAAAAAAAAGGATATCCCAACCAAGACCCTAAGTTAACAAAAAACATGGGAAACTGAATATTCAAAAAAATAAAGACATGTAAGAAAATGCTTAAATGGATACAACTGAAATTGTTGACAGTTTTCCAGGGATTGACGATGCTACCCTTACAAGCTAGGGTGGCATTCGTAAGCTCTTTAAGATCACATAGTACACAATACACTTCATTAAAGGCTGCAAATTGTGATTTCGGCATAATTAAGATCTATATATTTTCTAAACTTAAACCGTAAACAACAGCAAATGAATACGATCCAAAATGGAAATTGAAGTTAGTAGATCTTACCGTCACATGGGGATGGATGACTATAAGCTTCAATACCCTGTAGCAATGGCACTATGTGCATGAGGCCTTGCAGCACAGCATTAAGAAAGCAAGTGTTGCCCAAATTAGCAAGCCCTCCACCCTAAAATAAAACAGTTTGGCAATTCTAGTAAGTATTACAACCTCATAGAATATGTTCTAAAATCCCAAGCAATAACCAAAATCTCAAGATGCAATGAAGTAACTACACACCCAATTCTAGAAGTACACTAATGAAAATACAAAACGGAGTATAACATATACGGAGTAAAAAAGCAATATACCACTGGCGAAGAAGTCTCATCATCAAAGAAACAGAAGTTAAAAGAAGTGTTATCTTCTAAACTTGAATGTTCAATCTCTTGCCCCGTCTCATCGGGATGCCACTCTGACCAGTCCAAACTCACCGGGTCAGCTTTCCAGTTCAGATCCAAACCCGAGGACCCAGAAATTGAGGGAGAGGAATGGTGATCGCGATGCATCCACGTGTCCGTCCAATCAGGTTCGCCGCCGTTTGAATCAACACCGGCATAAAGTTTCGGCTCCACCGTCTCGGTGCTCCACTGTTGGGACCAATGCGAAAAACTTCGAACCGGAGCTAATGAATTGCAAATCGAGTCATCGCCGGCACCCTCAGCATCACCCTCGCCGTTTCCGTTTCCCGGTGAGTTTTCAGTGGACGATCGGACCTGACCAGAGATACTGCCACGGACGCCGGTTCCATTTTTCCGGTGATCGGGAGAATTGAGTGATGAGGAGTTTGTTTCTGCGGTTTCTGAGGTTTGAGTTCCCATTGAAATTCTTGCGGGGAAATTTGGGAGAAAACTGCCTCCTCCTACTCCTTATGGTTATACAGGGAGAACCGAGAACATATACCGAGTATAAACAAAACAAAATCATACTGAGTATAAATCACCTAAAATCACTACAACATAGAAAAAAGTATCAAAACTTTCATGTTTTTTTTTTTGAAATAAGACTTTCTATGGTAATGTAACTTTACACTATTGTAATGTGGCAGTTGTACAAATTACTATACTTATTTGGTAATGTATATGACGATGTATGGTAATGTAAGTCCTATTTTAGGAATAAAAACATGGAAATACTATTTTGGTATATTTTCGATGTTTTAGTCCTACTTTGGTCTTTCTCCCTATATAGTACTCCTTACTCCATTTTGACTTGGCGTGAAAATTAAAAAAATAAAAAATGTAAAGAATTTACAGAATTTGCTTTTAATGTAATGGAATAAAGTAAATAGTACTACGTATAAAGAAAATATAAAAGTATAATTTTAATCTAGACAAATTTGTTCCACATTGATAAGAAATTTTTAAAATATTAAATTTAAGGCAACTACAACTTTGACAGAGCTATTTTTAGGTAATCGCAAAAAGGTATGATCACTATTTATTTCCTATAGTAGATCATTAAAAAGAGATAAACTGAACTATACTTTGAATTAATTCATACGAAATGAATTTTATCCTTAAATAGATAGGTGTATGAACCTCGATCATATAAAACATGACAATTTTTTATGGACTAGCTAGCAGCCTAGCACAAGTAAAATTTTAATTTCACCATGATTGTGAAAGAGAGGCAAGAGACGGTTTGGGTTAGTTGGAGAAAATTAATGAGAAGATTATGGGGAGTAAGAAATATTTTTGCACGAAATACTGCTATAATAATCTTAAAATAAATATAACATTTCTAAAACTAATGAAATCAAGCATTGAACATATAAGAATTAAGAAATGACTAAAGAATAAATGCCAATATCAATAATGGTAACTAAATGATTGAGACAATGGGTGATTGCTTAATATGAACCACAATGGCAAAACATTCTATTATAATTTAATTTGTTGACAAAAAAATGTGGCGGGAATCAACTTTTAAGATACTCCGTGTCTAATAGGATGGAAAAAACCTATTGAGTTTAAATGGCAACTTGTAGAACTCATCACTTCTAACATCTCTTCCATATGTCACAAATTTTTGCCACCAATGCAAACCGTTATCTTTACTGTCGTTGTTCGGCAACGTGCGATCCAGAAATTCCGCCAACACGACCGCAACAGTCGCGTGCGATGTGAAGACGACACATATTATGTCGTTGAACTGCACACACATATATTTTTGTTAGAAAAAAAAAAATAAGGATTTATTTGATAAGTTTAGAATTTTATTAGCTACCAAAAAATGTACAAAGAGGTGATTGGTACCCATTTGGCATGTGTATGAACAGGGTATGAACCAGAAACCATTTGGTGCTCTTTGAAGTATTGAGGCAGTGATAGTCCCATGAACAAGGAAAATCCAAGTATGAACTTTGTTCTGAAGCTATTCAAGTTGCAAAATTGGAGGAATCCTAGACCAGCTGAAGCTGCAAATTGACAAAATGTTATAAGAAACTAGTCAACAAAAATAATTTCACACATTACAGAGAGTAACATGTGAAATCATTTTTGTATTAACAATAATTATGGAATGTTGAGTTAGATTAAAAAATCAAAATGTTATCAATTGATGGAAGTATTTTCTCCGCCAACCACTCTTAAGTACCACTTTGAGATTGAATGTTGCATTTTATGAACAAACTGAGGTTGGGTGTCAAAAGAATTCAATGTAAAAACATAAAAGAGGGAAATAGAAAAGAGTACATACAAACATATGCAAAGAAGACACAATACAAGGCCGCCATGACTGCCATAGGAATTGAGGCAAAAAATGCTCCAAATTTCCCTAGTAAAGTTGAAGGACACAAAAACATGTTAATAGATATAACAACATATAATGAAAGAAAACATCTTCAACTTTTACACTCAACCCGCACTATTAGCGCACAAAAAAATGAAAATAATTGTAACATCACCTAGGATGGAAAAGAAAATCATGAACCCAACAGATATCTGAGCAACTCTTCTGCTTCCAACTTTTGTTAATGCTAAAAGCCCAGCATTTTCTCTGCTAAACACCAAAAAACAAAAATTAAAAACATTTCTCATATTATCATAACTTGGTTTTTAATTAACTTTTGGTACATTGTAAAAATGATACATTTGGAGATAATGATATCCGCATTTATACACACTTTTTTAATGTACCAAAATAATCAATGGGATAAGAAAGAATTTATCAATTACGGTGTTGCACAAGGGCCAGTGAGTCCTCCAAAAATGCCACTGAGCATAGTCCCTACCCCCTGTAAAAGCAAAATACAAACTGAGTACGATGGGTTCACATAATGACTATTTATGTATGTCTATGAAGAGCGTGAATAATGTAAAGTCAAATTTAATGTAACTCTAGCATGTTCAGTTTTCAAAGCAACTTTGAAAATTTCTACTTGTTATAATAGAATATGTCACATATAGAAGATTTTTATAATTTAATCTTACAAGCCATCCGACGCCTCGGCTAACAATAGAAGGTGGCACTGGTGTGGCACTCCCATATCTCGATGTAGCGTAAAACACCGCGGTTGACTACAAAACAAATGGGCAATGTAACAAATTCAAGTTCATGTCGTCATTCCCATAAACGCTACGATTCTCTTGACATCAATTTTGGATATCATATAATGACATCGTAGCCCTAATTTCTCACAAACTCCTGAAATGCTACACTATGAGATTTCAGGAGCATAACATGACACCAAAATCAATGTCAAAGGATCTTTACCCTTGCATAAAAGCAAATACAACAACTAAAAAATAGAGAAGTTAATTATTTTCTGCTAAATTCTGAACACAGTGTTGCAATTAATATCCAAAATTCAACGAAGTAAACCTCGATGGAGGAGACGAAGCATGACGATAGCATTGCAAAGACATCACCAGCGTTAAAGGTGGGAGGTCCCCATTGAAATGGCAAAGGGATTTGAATCCTACAAAATAAATAACGCTAAACATTATGTTGGCTTCTCGTAACTTTTCAACGTCTGTGAATGTATGTAAAAAAAAGTCAAAGGGTAGAATAGTAACTGACCAAGAGGAACCAGACATGAGACCAGAGCCATCTACCCTGCAATTCTCTTGTGAATATGTTTTGTAAGGTCCACTGTATGTTAAAATGGCTGCGTATGTCCACACAATGCTCACAGAAAACAATACACCAAACCTATCCAATATTGGCCTTTTTAGTTTTAGCCATGTTGGAAGATACTGCACACAAACACACACACAAAATTGTTAACATTTATTCTACATTTAGTTCATATCCAAAGGAGAAATTAAAAAAACAAAAAATTTTAACCTGTGAGGCAAGCACAATTAAGAAGAGCTCCGGAACCCCCACAACGGCACACTTTGCCATCTAAACGCGTCGAAAAAAATTAAAGAAAGAATAACGAGTTAATAAAATTTTAAATTGAATTAGACGATTCGAAAAAATTTAATCTTTTAGTACATAATGCAACATAAAGTGTCTTGTGACGTACTCCCTCCGTTCTATATTAATTGCCTAATACAACATTCCTGATACATTGAAAAATGAATGAATGTAGACATACCCTATGTTTACATTCATTCGTTATATTTTTTCAATGTAGGGTAACGTTCATTTAATAGGCCAAATTAGAGTAAAGTAAAGAGTCTAACCAGTGGGAAGCCAAGATGGAATAGGCCAAGTCCAGTTAAAGTGATTAGTGGGACTACAGATAAAGGGCTTAGAAACCTACACTTCAAATTCAGGAGGCTTATATTAGAACAAATATTGTAGCTCCAAAAGTTGAAGATTTGGAGAAATATGTTATGGAATTAAAGGGTTTTTTTTCTAAATAATAAAAAAAGGAGTACAAATGATGAAATAAAAGAAGGCAACCTTGTAGCATTTCTCCACAGCCCTATGAAACCAGTAATGACTTGAAAACAAGATGCCACAATGAGGGCTCCTTGAATGGCCCTCATACTGTGCTCAAACCTCTGAAGAGTTCAATATTAATATTAATTTTTAATAATAATAATAATAATTGTCTTAATAATAATAATGATAATAATAATAAAGAAAATAAAAAAAATGGAATGAAAGTTAATTAATTAGTACCAAGTGAGGATCCACAATGTGCTGAAGTCTCCTAGTTTGGATAATTGAGGTAATTGGGATTAAGTAGGCATAAGAACCACCTATAACTGAAGGTAACCTCACTCCAAATAAGGATTGAAACAATGTGTTTAATCCTGATATAAAAAGTAATGTCTGCATTACCCTTGCCTCTTCCACCTGCATTATTCAATCCTTTCCATACATTATCAAATCTTGCACATTTTTTTCGAAAAAAAGGGGGGAGTGCCGATTTCGCAATAACGTTAGATTTTAACTTCGGTATTCTGAAAAAGTTATCTGATCAAAGATTTATTGTCTTTAAACTTGTATCCGTATCGCTGAAAAAATGATCGGAAGTCGAAAACTAACAAAACCAAATGCGTAAAGTTTTTATTAAGAAACTAACTCAATCAAACGTTCAATTTTGACTATTTGAGACTCAAAAAATATTTTACTCAAGCAACTTCTTTAAGTGAGATTTTTTTTTCTCAAATTGTACATATCGCGACAATTTTTATATCAGGGTGACGGTGAAATTATGAAAGGTAGAAGCATCAAATTGTAAGATTCTTACTTTGCCACCACCCATTAGAGGCACAATTGTTTTGGGGATGAAGACAATGTTGCCTAGAGTTAAGAGGTAATGCTGGAAACCCAAACACAATGCTTCCGCTGGATTAAACAAACAAACAAAACCGTTTTTAAGTCCAAGAATCAATCAAATTATTAGAGAAAAATTCATGCTGATACTCACCTAAATACTCTAAAATTACATACTCTCCCGGTCGCAAAAAAATTGTAACATTTTGCAAAACGAAGTAATATTTCAAGTTTTTTTAATTCATTTTATTTCAAAATTAGTACTCCCTCCGTTCCTTTAAACCCTTCCACTTTTGACTTTTGGCAAAAATAAGGAAAGTGAAATTTTGGTTGACTTTCCAATTTTGCTCCTGATGTGATGAGTAAAAGTAAGATGTGATAGTTTGGTTATTAGTGAAAAAGTATGATGTGATAGGTAGAGTATGAAAAAGTAGGGGTAAAAGTGGTTTTTTAATAGAAAGTGGAAATGTTTTAGGGAATTCAAAAAAACAAAAGAGGAAGGGTTTTGTGGAACAGAGGGAGTATAAAACTAAAAAAATAAAGTTTACGTATTTAAAAATCAGTTTAAAAGTTTTACAAAAAATGAGGTAACAAAGATATTTTATTTTACTCATATAAAATAATCAAGGGATAAAGATTAAAGTAGGAATAAAACATTAAAAATATATCAAAATAAGAGTTCCACATTTTTATTCTTGATATAGGAGTTAAAATGTACTCATATTTATAATGACAATAATGATCATATACATCACCAAAAAGTATTATGAAAGACTCATTTACAGTGTCACATTACCACAGTCGAAACTTCAATATAAAAACATAGAACTCTTATTTTGGTAATTTGTGTATGTTTTACAAATAAACAAAAGTTCTCGTAATTTTTAAATACTAAACTATGACATTTTCTCGGAGAGGGTTTCCGAAAATTCAAAATTTTTTTACTCCTTATTGAATAAATAATAAATTTCTGTCAGCACGTAATAAAACCTGAATTTTTTTTCCAAAAAAAAAAAGAGAAAGAAAACGTACACCATGAGGGTGGACTATTGATGCAATATTGCACGCCGGAAAGCTGTTCTAATACAGCATGCGGCTGGGGCTTTTCCTCTGCCTTCTTAGCCTCCTCCGCCTTCTTATTATTATTGCCGCCGCCGCCTCCACCTCCATTGTTTCCGCCACCGCCGCCGCCGTTTCCGTTGCCGCCGCCTTCTGATGACATCTTGCAACTAAGGAAGGAAAGCTCGAATGAGGAGAAATGGTCTGTTTTGTTCAATTTGGAAGAGGAATATTTTAAACACTCATTAGGTGTTATTATAAAAACAAACCGTTACAAATTTCAAAATATACTTATCATATAGGTTAATGGTTACAAAATCAAATATCATAAGTGCAGTAATAATTGTGGAGGAATGATGGAAACTATGTGAATTGAAGAGCATTCAATTCTTGAGGAAGAGATGCTCTCTTTGTGAGTTCAAATAAAAAGAGTTCTTATCATTAAAAACTTGAAAAATCGTTGAAAAATTGTGGAGGTAATACACATTTTAATCTTTGTATGTTGAGTTTAGTCAAATTAGTCCAAATAACTAAAAATATGAATCAAATTAGTCTTTTTAATGAAATCTATCTTAACTACGGAGTATAGAGACAGAAAGTCCTTTATTAATGCATTGTCTTTGTCTCCGTGATTGGATGACAAGTGTAAAAAGATACTTCGTAATAAAAAATAGATGAATGATTAAAATATGATATCAAATATTGAAAAAAAATAATGTGACATTAAAAATGAATATTGTGGAAGGGAACAAATGATAATGATTAATGAGTAGGTGGTGCTCTCATATGTGGACGGGGCTTTGGAATTGTGACCCTAAATAAATATATGCACCCACACGGATTGGGCTGAGTGCATTGGTTCTGCTTCAATTCTTTATGTTAACCATATTTTGTTGTCTCATTTGGTTTTTTACACTTTCAAATTCAACTTATTACTCCGTACTCATTACTAAGGTTATAAAAATTTCATTTACCTTTCTGCACTTTTTATATCATCCCTACTATATATCTAACTGTCAATTTTACTTCTTGAATTTTAATACTCGGTAATTGTTCTTTCATACTAGCTACAGATTTATTGAGAATAATTTTTTTTTCATTTTTGGAAGTACGGAGTATTATTATTTGAGCAATAATATCATTCTAGCCTGAGTAATTAAATGTTGAGTAGCTAGTCTTCTAATGGATATTTGAAATGGAGTCTCAAAACTCAATGTATAAAAGATTTGTGAATTGGGATTAAAACTCACATGCAACCAACTACAAACAATTTTCGCTTGAAAAAGGAAAAAACAAAAGACGAAGGGTGCATGATACATATTAGGAAACATACATGCACGTTTTCTGAAAAAACAAATACAATGCTCCAAAGAAATGCTTGTGGCCGGTGACCCTACCACGCAATTATTATTATATACACACACAATATTGGTCCGTCCATTTCACTCATTTAACAAGTAGTACTATCACTACTACTACGTGGTATATCGTCGTACCAATTTATTTTATGTCCACATATTCAGCTTCATTATTGTTGGGACAACCTGTGCCTTCATCAACTCCATTATATGAGCCTGTTTGGTAATAACATTAGAGATTAGCGTTACGTTTTACATAAAATTTTAGCGTTTGAAATTACTTTGAAAACGCTCACGCTGCCCGTAGATAGCTTGTTCAAAATGCTCACTCTAATTTAATCTCTAACGTTATTATATTCCCAAACATGCTCATATGAACTGTTTGCTCTGAATCAAAGCTTGATAATTTATTTTTGGATGCCTCTCGAAGAAATGTCATATTGATGAGTTGAGTTGGACATCTTTGTTTAGGTTACTTTTCTCCTCTTCACCCGGTATGGGATCGGAGGAGTTTGCTGCCCAACAAGATTTTTCCATCAAACTAACGACCGCACAATGTGTGACATCGCTTTCAGCCATTACCTATTTGAATTGTACATCATCTCGCACTGCTGGTACACTCTTTGTAAAATCATTTTGTTATCTTGATGAGGTACACGAATTATAGGATTGTATATATTTTGACATTTATACTTGTAATTTTAGCATTCCTCAAATTTGCTACATAGGGAGTAATTACTATATCAAGAGGCAGTAGTTGCGAGGGACTTGATGATTATTATACTATCAATTCTTGATAAAAGTGGCATTTCAACTCCGATTAAAATGTAAATCATTGTATGCAAAAGAAAGTTGATTAGTACGTACATTTATTAATAGCTAGATTTACCAAAATACTTCCTCCGTCCCTAAATATATCTCACATTTCTATTACAGTGGTAAATATCAAGTTTTTTAAATTCATTTTATTTACATATTCATATAGAAATAAAAAATAAAATTTACATACTAAAAAACTACATGAAAAGTTCTTTGAAATAAGAGGTGTCAATAGAAAAAACTATATGTATGAGATTTATATCCGAGTATTTTAAAAAAATGATCAAATATTTTAGACAAATACTTTTGTGTTCTTTGTTCATACCCATTTTTTAAAAAAAAATCTGGACACCATAAAAATGTTGAGCCTTTTCTTAAAATCTAAAGAAGAAATCCATCTACCCGTCACTCAATAAAAATATATGTGAAAATTTCTATATTTTAAACGTAAATCTTAAGATTACAAAAGTCTAGTTATCCAATATTTTAATTGTCGATTGACCAAACCGTTTCTCTTTAATTTAAGCTACGTCCATTAATTTAAGCTACGTACATTAATTTATGTGAATAGGACTAAAACATAAGTCATTTCCCAATGTAGGACTTAAACTTCTTTATTCTTTAAATAGGACTTAATAATAACTAGTGAGAAGAATAATGTCTAAGTGATGCTGGACATTTAGTTGAATTATGCCTAATAAATAATGACCTATGGTCCTACATAAGGAAATAAAAACATATTGTTGGGCGGTGCTCCTTGGACCACACGGCAAGAAGGAGAGCAAATCCCATTCTAAGTGGGATTGCTCTTGATTTGTTTCCTTGTTCATATTTAGTGATTTGTTTCCTTGTAGGAATAGAATTCCTTTTGTGTTTTGGTCTTTATCCTCTCCTATAAATAAAGGAGAAACTCCTTGTACTTAGCAGAACAATTCAATATACAGAATATTTTCCCTCTTATTATTTTCTTCATGGTATCAGAGCAAGATTCCTAGGGAAAAACCCTAATCTAGACATACGACGGTCCATCACCGTCCTCCGCCGGTTCAAGCCTGTCTTCCGCCGGATCACCGACATCGACCGCCGGACTATCCTCCTCGACCGTCGACATGGCAGAAGTAGAAGAAAATCTCGTCGGCAAGCTTTTCGATGAGGAAGAAAAAATCCCTACGAAGGGAAGTTCTTACGAACTCAAGAACGCAGACACACCTGGATTAATTATCACCCAAGTCAAACTAAACGGTGATAATTATGAAGAATGGGCTCGTGCAATGAGAATTGCATTCCGTGCAAAACGGAAAATTGGATTCATCGACGGATCCATCCCTTGTCCAGAAGAAGGAGAT